TACGATCGAGAAAGAATTATTGGCCATTGTTTGGGCTACAAAAAACTGTTTAAGACTATTTACATTGATGGATTCTCAGCGCAAGAGCAACAGATACCTTTTTAAAATATGGGCAAGCATACCCACTCGCAGCATTGACAGGAATAGAAATTATTAAAGGTCTTTTAATTTTCATGACACATCATGGTTCGCTTAGCATAATTAGGTATAATGGACAATGGAAGTGAATTAAAAAACCTAATGATTCAGGAATTTTTAGATGTTCATGAAATCAAAAGTCATTATGTCTCGCCCAATAGTTCTCAGTCAAAAGGCGTAATCGAGTGCGTACAATTAACAATCATTGAACATTTAAGAATTATTAAAGCAAAAAATAATGGTAAAATTGACATTTCAAATGATATGCCTTATGCTATTTTCGGATATAATAATTCAATACACTCTGTGACTAAACTAAAACCAATTAACATTATAAATAGTCATTTTGATTATAAAGATTTTTTCGATATCGAAATTAATCAAAAATTAATTAACAATTACATTCAGGAACATACCACAACCGAAATTTACAAAAAATTAAATAAACTAATCTCGCAGAAAGAAAAGACAATAGGTTATCACAATAAAGATCGACATAAACCACTAACATACATATCTGACACTGACGTTTATAGAAAAAGTACAACGCAAGTTAGAAATAAGTTAAATCCAAAATTTTATGAAGATAAAGTATTAGATAACGAAAGTATAAAAGTAAAAACTAAAAGGCTTTATTACATAAACAAATGATCAAAAGGCCAAAAACTAACAAGACAAAACTTTTACAGCACGCCACTAATCCTAATAATCCTGGTTCCTCAAGGGATACAAATGACGAACCTAATTAATAATCCCGGTATCCTTTCTTATCTTTTAGGAAGTAAAATCAACGATACATACATACGTGTCTCCATTATTATGAACTAGCACATATTGTTGTATCAGTCATCTCTAAACTATGCCTAGTTGCCAGGATTAGGTTGACAGTACTGAACATTGACAGTTAACCGAAGATGGACGAAATAAAACGTTAAATGGTAGCTCCCGTAGTTTTATTTATTGTTAATTATCCACTAACAATACACATATAAAAGATGAAATTGAAATTTTAAAATTAGCCTACAAAAATGTAACTGATGTAATTCAAGATAAGCTTGGCAGCCCTTATCATATAAGACACTCCTTTATTAATTAACAGCAGATAACAAATTAAATTCTTTAATGCCCCCTAGAAGAGTAAAACGTGATCGTATTGATGGTTTAGGTTCTATAATTAAGAGTATTTCTGGAAATTTAGACGCAAATGATGCATTTTACTATGATCAAGTCATTTCTAATTTTCAAAACATTGTATTAAAAATTGTACAAAAAGTAAATCAAAAAATCTCACTTCCAAAAGATTCAAATTTTTAACAAAATAATTTCTTTAATTAAAAGTAATCAAGGAAGTAATATGTGCAGGAATAGAAAGAATTCGAACTGCTTTAAATCAATTTGTTTTTCAATTTAATGACTAATTACAAACTCGAAATATTTTTGATTGTCATGGGAATGCCTAAGCCGGCCCTGTACCTTGTACCCTGTACCAGAACAAGCAGTACGTACCGTTGAGTCATGGAGATGGAATTCTAGGACATTTCACATCGTCTAGAAACTTTTCGTACAGAGTTGGGCTTGGTATAAATATCGCGACTTTTCGACGGACGGGCAGATTCGAATAAAGTGTTGGTCAGAAAAGTTAAATTGTAATAAATAAATTATAATTGTGAGTTAGTGATTAAGTATTATATAAATTAATAAGTACGTCATAAATAAATTGTAAATAGTGTGTTTTAAATAAATAAACTATAAATAAATTAAACTATCGTCACAAGATCAATTAAATTTAAGTTTAATTATCATTATACAACTTTTAGGAGAAATAGAAAATTCTATAACGTTTGCACCATTAGGAGTTGTACATCCTAGCATATTAAAACCCGAAGAGATAAAATCAATTATAAAAACTGTTTTAAACTTTTTTTTACAAATTCAAACAACGATACTTACAAATACTATGAAATTCTAAAAATGTATGCTTGTTATTCCGATTCTAAAATCGTTTTCGCTCTCCATTTTCTCATAGTTTTCCCTAAAAACTTTTCGTACTATCATCTTTATTTAAATTCTACCCTAAATTCCACAAATACAATAATCTGTCGTTACTTTGTACCACATGGATGACGTATTCCATGCAAGGTTAGTAGTTTACGTTTTTTTCTATCCAATTTTTTTGATTTCATCTCGTCTCCAGTCTATTATTCCGAAAATGTATGTGGGCCCTGGTACTGCTAAGCTGTTGATTGCTTTCATATTATTTTTCGAGTTGAAATGGGTTTTAAGCACAAGACGCACTCGACGGTAATACTCATTCTTAATTTTACTTTTCATTTTTTCATGCTGGATTTCAATGCATTCATCTACTAGATACTTGTATACAGTGCGGAACAGCCAAATGGAATAAATTCGGTAATAAATAAATAGGGGCGTGTTTGGAAAAACACTAGCACATGTCGATTGGTATTTTTTTCAACAAATTTTTTTTATACAAGGTATGTCATATAACAGTGGCCGATACCAACTTTCTTATTTTAAATGCAAGACCTTGTATATTTTTCAATTATTGAATTTTTCAGAAAATTCTAGACATTTTATACCCTATACCTAATTGTTTCGGAAATATTAAATGTTTTCCGATTTATTACAAAAATTAACATTAATAAGATAAATTATTTGTTTACAGAAATTCGTTACAATACACTCAAAAACTAATAAGTTATGCTGTAGGTATAATTCTTGATAATGTAACAAAAAAAAGACATCTTCATAGACGTTCAAAATGCTCGCCGCGAACCTCTCGCCAACATCTTAATCTAACGTTACATAATATCTCAGGCGAGGCCGATCTAATCGCAAGCGTTGTTCAACTTCTTAAGTCAGCTAGGTCGAGAGGTTTAGTTTTGTATACAATACTTTTGACATATCCCCATAAAAAAGTCTAATGATGCCAGATCAGGAGATCGTGCTGGCCATTTCATCGATCCTCGCCTCCCTATCCACCGATTTGGAAATACTCGATCAAGGTACTGCCGGACATTGATTTGGTTAATGGGGCAGTGCTCCATCTTGCTGAAACCATACCATATTCGCTGGAACTTGTGGGTTTTCTGGATCGAGATATAAGTTCATTAAAGTTGGCACGACATTATTTTGGAGCGGTGCTAAATAATTATCGCCATTCAAATTGTTATCAATGAAAAAGGGACCTATGATATGATCGGCAATAATTCCTGCCCAAACATTAACCTTTTCAGGGCAACCAGTGAGGATTTTCCCTAGACCAATAGCGGCAATTTTGCATGTTTGAATAATCGATGAATGGCTAATATCGAACATTGGGGCTGCGTTGTGTTCTAGGAGTTTTCCTTAAACTAAAGTATAATATCCAATTTGGTACCATTAGTTATTGATTACATTGGCAGCTGTTTTTTATCTGCCTTACATGTCCAAGCTCGCGAAACTGCTTCTCTATTTCACTAATTGTCTCTTGGGATATACGCGGCAAATTTGGAATTTTTTCATGAAATAAGCATGCAGCTTTCATTTGTGTCCGTGTGTTACCTCCATAACTAATCATCTGTAGAATTGTTGGTGTATTTCTGTTAAATAAGTCATTTCTCTGATATGCAGTTAATGAAATTCAAACGACTATAACACTGACATTTACTGTCATGCAGTCAAATAACAATTTGCTAAGGTCAGGCGTTTTAAACAAAAGTACATAAAACTATTTAAGTATAGTTTTTTTTTTATATTTCAGAATAGTAAAAAGGTACGCTGAAATGGTTTTTGTTTACTTTCTCATTATCAAGACTTAAATGGGAAATAAGTATTGGGTTTGTTCTAGCAAATTTCTGTAATCAAACAATTTTATTTTGTTAATATTAATTTTTTGCAATAAAACGAAAAACATTTAATATTTCTGTAACAGTTAGGTATATCACATTGTACATAAAATATGTCTAGAATTTTCTGAAGAATCCAAAAATTGAAAAATATACAAGGGTTGCATTTAAAATAAGAAAGTTGGTATTGACCACTGTTACATGACATCCTATATAAAAAGTTTTTGTTAAAAAAATGCGCAACTAAAATACCCATCGACGTGTCCGAGCGTTTTTCCCAACACGCCCCCATTTATTTATTACCGAATTTATCCAATTTGGCTGTTTCACACTATATATCATCGGAGAGGCTAGCTGCGAGATTAGTGTGCATCAACATTCTCGCAACAATTAAGAAGTAATATCTCCGGTCACGTCGTGGATGCGTGACCACTGGGAGGTTCCACCCTGGGGCTTAGCCGGCTAGAATTTAACCATCGACGGCGTGGAATGAATGATGGTGAATGAGGGAGTGAATTGATGAATGGGAAAGTAGTATTATCTCCAAATGGTTATTAATATTATTATTTCATTGATACCGTCTTTCATAGTACGAAGTAGGGATGGCGATATGAAAATTTAAAATCCATTTTCGAAATGGCGACGTCGAACAAGAATAACTTTTTTGAGTTTTTATTTTAATGTCAAAATTATCAAAAATTAAAATAAAAAAAGGTCAAATTTTCGTCTCGTTGTCGTCCCCCTAATGAGACGCTTATGATCGCAATATAAAAATTGTTCCTGCTTTTAATTAGCCATAAAACACCTAATATTTGTACTAAATTATTCTTTTAAAATAGATGAATTCTGGATATTATAAGAAACAGATATTTTTATTTAAATTGTTGACCTCTAGCGGTCAAACGAAGCAAGTTGGTATGTAAGGTAATTTTGGGTTAAATCAACTTATTTTGAGACCATAAATCTGGGGTAGGTTCATGTACACGCAATTTTCGGACAATCTGTATATATACTTACTGTTATCACGAATATATTTGCTAATTTTATCATTTTCTTCCTTAGATTCTACTGACACCAGTTCCATATTAATTATTTTGCAAAATTGTAGAGCTTCCAAGTAATTAACCTTAAAAAAACCATCTAGCTAATGATACATTCGAGTATAATTCAGAAATTTTTTATAGAGTGTCATAAATAAGAGGGATCGACTTACTAAATGCTCTAAATATTTTAACATATCAACTACTAATGTTAGTCAAATTGAAGGAACAAATATTTATTATTTTAATGGTATTCAAAGAAAGACTTTTAGTTATTTTAAAAATGTATAGTTTTATGTATGTATTTTGTTTCTATAACAGCACAGATATTGAAGTTTTTAAGTACCATTGCAGTTTTTCTCTTATAAAAACTGACATTAAATGAAATTAAGAAAAATAATTCAGTAACAAAATATAACAAAAAAGTATTACAAATCACAAAGCAAGCAATAGGAATAAAGAATGTAAAAGTTACAATAAATGTTCTTCAATATCTAGCGAACTATTTTCGATGATGTTCCTAATGTTATTTTTTAGTTCTTTTCCGTTAGTAGGTTAAGGGCTGTTGCACTTATATTTTACATCTTCCCAGAGGAAAAAAATGGGAAATCGAGGTGCTATTAGTGAAAAATGAAGTGGTGCGCCATCTTGTCTCTATAATTCCACCTTAGCTGTGCATTTACATTTAAAATCGATCACTTTTATTTAAAACATCCTGCAAATTAAAGAAATTATGAAACATGTTTAACTGTACTTTAACATATCTGAAGAAATAGTATCTCTTTTCATTGTAGTAGAGAGAAGAAACATTTGAAGAAGTTTTTATCAAATTCTGCCAACCTAATAAAAAAAAATTGTTTTTACAAAAAGTAGACAAGATTTTTAAAAATAATTTTTAATTAATAAATTTCTTACGTGAAGTTGCCATATCTTCAATTTGAGAAAATGTCCTGTGTTCATATCTCTCGCAAATGAAGAAATTTCGAAATTGGCAATGAGAGTCCTGCCAAAACAGGCCTTTGTTATTAGCTATTACTGTTATGCACTGTTCACTATAAAAATTAGTAGGCATATAGTTATCCCATTTTGTATAATTTACGTTAGCTCCACAAGACATCCATATCCAATTGTAATTATCTATTTTAGTACCAGCAGTCCAGTACTTCCTAAATACGTTTCCTGAAAAGTTTAGGCGTATCTATTTTAAACAAATTGTGACTAGTTTAGATTGAATTAAACCGAATTGAAATGATTTTGACAGGTTTTGGACGAATTATAGGTTAAAATTTAGACGTATTTAGACTGATTTAAACTGATTTAGATTGGTTTAGAAACATGGTTCAGACATATTGCGACCACTTTTGACCTACGTAAAATGACAGACCATTCAAAACCGTTTTAATGGTTATGTTTAAGTTTAAAGTATATAAATATATTTCTAGTAAAATTTAAATATAGAGTTAGAATTTAAATGTTTGAAGTACTTACTGGTATTTATAATGAATTTTTCGATAGCTTTATTTTCATTGCCATCTCTAATAGTCAATAATTTCATATTAATGTTTTTGCAAAACTGCATGGACTGTAAGAAAGTTGCCTAAAAAAATTTTGAATTAGTCTGGAAGATGATTAATACATAAGATGCGACCTAACTAGACTAATTTTGTTTACAAAAATGGAATTGCAAACATTCACGCCGAAATATGCATTAAATGACTAAATCAAATTTGCAAAGTTGGCAATGCTAAAATTATACGTATTTGTCATATTTCGTATGTCGTATTTCTATCTAGTTATAATTGCTAATAAATAAATTATTAACCACTGGAATGGAAATTTTTAAATTACACCGTCGCGTCGCGTCTTAATGTCATATATATGGAAGAGCTTCTCAAATGTCAAAAAATTTCCAGTGTAATTTGGTTTAGAGTATTCAGCAAGAGAAAACTATCCGGAAATGTTTCTGATTGTCATAAAAACGTTTTAAAATAACAGCATTTGATCAGCTATAAAATAGAGGTTCAAAATTTTAAGTTATAATTTCCTTTTTTCTCATAGCAACTATGATAGTTGTATAGTGTTTATCAGAAAAACAATTCATGTTGAAGTGTGACAGCAGTGTAAAGCAAACGTAGTAGACAAAAATACTGATTCATTCATAAAACGCATGCTCGCTCCTCAAATAAACATACCCGTACAAACAATATCCTTCTTTCTATTGCCTCAGCCGATGCGACAGCTCTGGCTGCGTAATAATAAACATAATCTGAAAAATTGAGAACATACTCTGTGAAAAAAAGCAAGTAGGTCTCAAAATTATAGAACAGTGGTGCAAGGACCATTTACTGTCCTAAGAAGACAAAAATGGTCCTTTTCACAAGAAAAAAGATGAAAATGGAATTAAAACCTTCAGAACTCCTAAACATAAAGCTAAACTTTGCAACAGAGGTGAAGTACCTAGGTCTCACCTTTGACAGCCAGTTAATAAGGAACCCACACTTAGAAAACAGAGTCAAAAGAGCAATGCTTATGAACAACTCCGCCGAATCGTGGGGTGAATCTGGGGTGTTTACCCCAAAGTCGTCGCATGGACTTACACGGTTTTCATAAGACAAACGCTAACATACGGTGCAAAATTGATAGCTATATCCGCAAACTAGAACAAATTCAAATAACAGCATGTCTCAACAAAACAGGAGCCATGAAAACCACACCGACCAGAGCCATAGAAGTCATTTTTAGTCTCACTCCCCTTGATATTTACATTAAGGAAGTTGCTCTGATTACAATGACACGTCTCCGTACGATTGTAATAGAACCTGACGTAGGATCTGGTGAGGCGAGATGTCGCTTTTGGCAGGAGGCGCTCGATACACTCCAACTGCTTCAAGCGAACATGAACTCCATCTCGCCAAGATATATCTTCCATAAGCAATATAAAATTATAACAGAACAAATAGAAGAGCCGGGCGTGGCCGGTACGATTCATAGGGGAAAGTCAACTATATTGTACCAGCTCCTAAATTGTACCATTCCCGAATTTTAAAGAAAACGATACCTTAAGAGCCATCTTTTATTGCCACGAGGTACTTTTATGTATTTGAAGGTTAGTAGTTAAAGGGAGTGTCGTTTCGCAAAGGTTTCGAAGAGCAAAGAGTGATTAAATAATTTATACCTATTTTAAGTAAGTTTCGACAACATTTTCTTAAGGTTTAAAACAAAATCTATGATATTTAGGACGATTTGATTAATATAAGTCTAAAAGTAACTATATTTAGCACCTTTTCGTACAAATTTAAAATATAACCTCAAAAACTTAACGAATTGTGAATAAAAGTTTCCAATTTTGTCTAGTTGCCCAATGTGGATCACTATATAAAGTGTTTCTTAATTTGTACCGGTACAATTTAAACGACTCATGCATGTTTTTTTTAGAATGCTCTTAGAAAACGAGAGGGAAAATATTGTCAGCGGTCAGAGAAAAATATGAAAGAAGCTATTGCGAAATATAAAACAGGAAAATATTGTGACGAAAGTCTAATTTATTTAAAGTTTATTTATTTAAAAACACACTATTTACAATTTATTTCAGACGTACTATTTAATTTATATAATATTTAGACACTAACTAACAATTCTAATTTATTTCTTACACTTTAACTTTTCAATACAACGTTCTATATTCAACTAAACTCGGCGCTGATACGTCGGCTATTTATATTAGTCCAACTACGCTACTGGAAAATGCTAGAGACTCGCGAAGATTCTACCCCTATGACTAATCGGCACTCTCCCGCCGTTCCAGTTGCTTCCAGTGCATCAGCGGCAGACATTCCGTCGTATTCTTGTACATTCGAGACGCAGGCCAGCTGTTCGAGACGCGGGCCGGCTGTTTCCATACGTCAGCGTTGCTTCGATCACGAGTCGGTTGCGTGCGTATACAGGGTAGGCTTTAAGAATTTTCATGACAATATGGTCTAAATGAAATATGCACCAGGTACGAAGTTCCTAAGCCTACTTTCAAGAGACATCTAGCAGCAACAAATAAAAGGGCTTTTAACGGTAAAAAATATTTTGTAGGTCTACAGTTTTCCCTGTTGAGGTGGAAGCAGGGCTGGAAAAACATATTCTTGCTTTAGAGAAAGTATTCTTTGGTCTTACCATTAAGGACACCAGAAGAGCAGCATTTCAATTTGCAGAAAAAAATTCTATAAAACATCATTTTAGTAAAAGAATTGGTATGGCTGGGAAGAAGTGGTACTACAATTTTATGAAACGCCATCCAAATCTTTTATTAAGGCAACCAGAATCAACATCATTAGCACGTTGCAGAGAATTAAAAAAAAAATGTTATCGATTTCTTTAATAAACTTAAAAATATCATCGATGAAAATAAATTAGGTGCCACAAAAATATATAATGTAGACGAGTCAGGATTCTCGACAGTCCAAAACAGTAATCAAAAAATGTTACCCAAAGAGGGCAAACATCAAGTTGGTACTATTTCCAGCGGAGAAAGAGGTGTCAATACTACGATGGTTGTTTGGTTGTTTGCGCAAGTGCCTCAGGTCAATTTGTCACACCAATGATTACATTTAAGAGAAAACGAATGTTAGCAGAAATGACCATTGGAGCACCACCTAGCTGTTTGGTGGAGATATCAGACACATGCTACATTAATTCTGAGCTATTTGTTACTTGGTTAAAAAAAATATAAGTGGTTAAGCCTACACAGGAAAATAAAGTTTTTTTGGTATTGGACGGTCATACTACCCATTCTAAAAATTATGATGGTCTAATTATTTTACAATTACCAGGACACACGACCGATCGACTTCAACCCCTAGATGTTTCGGTTTTCAAGCCTTTAGAAACATACTATAACCAAGCCATTGAAAAGTGGTTAAGACAGCATGCTGGAATGGGAGTTACGCAATTTCATGTTGCTTCTCTTCTTAATGAACCTTATGGCAAAGCTGCTGCTATAGTATATGCTACTAACAGTTTTCACAAATGTGGGATGTGGCCTGTAAATAGAGATGCTTTTTCTGATGCTGATTTTGCTCCTTCAGAACTATTGACTGATAAAGAAAATATTTCAACTGAGACGATGCCGATCGAAATTTTGGAAGAAAATTCCAATATTAGAGAGTCACTACAAATTCAAGTTTTGGTAGATGTTCACAGAGCAGCTGACGACGTTAACACTGAAAAAATCGATACACAGGCAACCAAAAATTTAAATGTGTCAATTGTAGATATTCTTACTTTACCTGATGTTAGTGAAGCTTAAAAATAGAAAATGGGTAAGAGCGCACAGACGGCTAAAGTTATTACATCCACTCCCTATAAAGAGCAACTGGAAGTAAAATAAAATGCCGTAGAAGAGAAGAAGAAAAGAGCTGTTAACCTTAATTTTGGGGTTGAGATGTCACAGAAACCAGTTATAGGAAAATCAATTTCGAAAGGAAAAAAGAGGAAAAAAAAGAAAATTCTCAAATACAATACGACTTACAACAACCATCATCATCAAATGAAGATATTTTAGTATGCGTAAATTATGACAAAACTGAATGGTACTGCAAGATTTGTAAGGAATGCTTGATAGAAGATATGATTTTCAATGCACAAGGTGTAAAGAATGGGTACATGAATCATGTGCAGATGCTCAGACAATTACATATGTGATATGTACTCTTAAACATATTGCAGCATTTTTTTATGTCAAAGAAGGTCGTTTTAATTTTTTTTATTTTAACAGAATTTATATTTGTTTTAAGTTTTGAGTTTTCTTGTTCAAATCTTGTTTTATTTTTAATATTACTAACTGATAAACTATTAAAACTAGTGATTGATTATTTCAATTCAAAATAAAATATTATGTATGTAATAAAGGATAGTACAATTTAGGAAATCATCTGGTACAAATTAGGCAACCGGTTGCCCTAATTGTACCACTTGTAAAGGTTTTAAAAAAGTTTGAACCAAAAGACATTATTCTAAAATTTTGAAAAAATATATAATATTTTCAAAACTGTATTGACAAGTATGGAGCAATTTAAACTATCATTTTTTAAAATTTGTAATTTATATAACAAAAACGTCAGAACTGGTCCAAATTGGGCAACCTTACCATATCTACACCGACGGTTCTAAAGCAAAACAAGGCTCAGGATGTGAAATATGCTCCAGATCCTTAAACCTAAACATAAAATGGGCTGTGAGCAGTAGTGCCAGTGTAGTTTAAACTGAGCTCACGGGAATTCTCATAGCAGCAAAAGAAATCACCAAAAATAATATAACTGGAACAAACATGCTCATCTATACAGATAGCAGACAAGCACTACTCGCTCTGGGCCGACCACAAATTTATTCAGGGTTAGTTCTAGAATGTCAGGAAGCTTTGGCTGAAGTATTCATCAACAATGTGGTCAACTTAAGATGGATCAAAGGTCACGCCACATCGAAAAGTAACCGTATTGCTGATTTACTTGCCAAGAAGGCAGCCAACCAAATACTTTTGAACCTGGCCCTTCTATTAGACTGATAAGATTCATAGTGACAGACCTACTCAGAGAATATTCCCTTGTGAAATTCAAGGAAAGATGGGATAAAAAAAGAAGCTGCAGACTTGCCAGGGAACTTTTAAGTTAACCTAACAACACTACAGCGAACAAATACTTGACAATGAGTAGACAGAATCTGCGCCTTTTCACAAGGATTCTGACTGGACATTGCCAACTATGGAAGCATCTTCCTTATTTTGTGAATATCTATCTTATGTAAAAAAAGTTCTTACCTTAAAATTATTTCCAAAGTAGTAATATTTATCTCCATAATGTGTTAGGGGTACGAGTAACAAAGAACGTTTATTGTCGGCCGAAATATGCTCCCCTTCTAAAAAGTAAATGAAGAAATAAGCAATTAGTATCTGTTAATATTTTTATACCTAATGAGAATGTCATATTGCTATCTAATAATTATTCATTCCTATTTTATCAAAGATTGTGAAAGTCGTTATGATCTCTTTGAGAAGCTACTATTAAAGACAATGTGGATGTGAACATACAGAGAAAATCCAATAAAAATCAGTTCGGATTCAGAACACATTCCATAGTACATCAAGTTCACAGAATTACAGATCTAATAAAGAACACATATGAAGAGAAAGAGATCTGCTTCGCCTTGTTCCTGGATATTGTTCAGGCGTTTGATAAGGTCAGGCATAAAGAACATAATAAAATTGGAACAAATGATTCCATAATAGTATGTACAACTTCTGGAATCATACGTATTAGACAGATTTTACAGAGTGAAACAAGAGGAGGAATATTCTGAGTTAAATCAAATTGAAGAAGGAGGACCACAAGGGATCGTCCTTGGTCATCTCTTGTTTCTACTATCAATTTCCGATATACTAGAAATGATTAATATCAAAACCGTAAGTGAAAAATAGATTGAAAATTCGAAAACAAATCTCAACAATCCCTCTACGAATTATTAAAACCATGCCCGAAACCCAAAGGTGAAAACTAATACTTGTAGATTTGAAAAACCTATCGACGCTCAGTGTGAATGAATGCATTTCTCATATACACCGATGCTGTAATAGAGGTACTTGTAGATTTGAGAAAGAACTAGCACATAAAATTTCCGTTTAGGAAACTCGACAGTCAATGTCGTTGATAGTCTAACGGTAAAAACATATGTCAAGGATACATGGATGTCTGGGTTCAACCCCCCAGCGACGACAACGGAATTGTTGAGATTTGCTTCCAAATTTTCAAACTATTTTTCAGCCACTTATTTTTCAGATACACTGATTTTTCGGATTTTGATTTGTGATTTCTTGATAATAAATTCACAATTTTAATAGTAAGTGTCTAAAAAGAAGACACGCTCATGGGTGATTTTTCACAGTTTTAAGCCTTTAGTTCATTTGGGTTTAGATAAAATTGATGATAGATTTATTTAAATAAGGTGCAGTATAACGCTCATTAAAAAAATATTGTAATATGTTATGTATATTAAATAATATGCAAAGATTTTTACAATATTTATTGAAACATTTTATCATACTGTGACGAAGTCACTAATTTTATTTTTTATTTATTTCAAATTATTTATTTAAAATGTATATTTCAATTAATTCCCGCCTGAGAACATGTAGAAGTTCCCCCGTATTTCTGTTTCCCAGCAATTACCGTTTTCAACAATTGCGAGTACCCTCGTAGATTAAAATATTCCTATGTTTGCCGAAATCTGAATGGGCATTTTGTAGAGTCGATTTCATACCAATTATCTACCTTTTATTTGTCAAGGACTATAAGGGCATTTTTTTAATTTTTAAATTGTAAATAGTCGGCTGTAGTAGTGGTAACCCCACTTTGTCTTGCTGGTCTTCCATCTTGCTTTACCGAAAAAGTATAAATTCATTGAGAGCTGAAAATAACATCCTCAGACACACACACAGAAGACAACGTTCACCGCAGCAGCCGCAACGACAAGACGTACTCAGATCGCTCCCAGTACCTCAAAGCCAGTGTGACTCGAACGGCCTGTAATCTCTTCGGAAGGAGCAGCGTTCGCAGTGAAGATTCTGACTCCAGTTATTAGAAGATTTTTAGGCAAATGCCGACAAAATTTAAATTCGAATAAGATTTGAAAAATATTAATTTTATATTTTTATGTTTTCAGATTCTATAACGATTTTACTAATAAAAATTGGAGATTGTGAAAGATTGCTACCAATTTTTCTTTTTCAGAGATATTAATCAAAATTGGAGATTGTGAAAGATTTCTACCAATTTTTTCTTTTTCAGTGACATTAATCAAAATTGGAGATTTGTGAAAGATTTTCTACCAATTTTTCTTTTTCAGTGAAACGACCATCAGGTATGGCCCCCACAGGGGCAAAACCTAAAATCTTGGACAGAAAGTCCAAGGAAGAAGAAGAAAACATAGTAGAATTTCTGAAGGAAACCAACAGAAAACTCGTGAAGCAGGTTGAAAACCTGAACAACCAAGTGGCAAACTTGACTTCGCAAATAGCCACTCTCCTGTCTCTCCTAGGAGACAAAAAGAACGATAAAAAAGAGGAAACCTTAGCCGAGGACTTCATTACCGAGGCGATGGCCACAGACCTCCCTAACTCCGATGACGAATTCACGGAAGTTAAAGCAAGAAACACCCGTAAACGGGGCAGAAAGACGACGGCAAGTGGCGCTGGAAATACCTCGTCAGAGGAAGACGACACCATAGGCAGCAACTTAACTCCCAGGACCGGTTCAAAAAGCCGCAGATGCAAATCTCCGACTTTTTCACCGGCCAGGGATGAAAGTATTGCTGTGGAGGATACGGTCCGTCTGGGTGCGAGTAAGGGGTTGAATCTGCCGGTAAACGGTAGAGCCTCCGAGGCATTCAAACATGCCGTATCAAACACAGCAAAGCCGACGGCGAAATCTCCGAGCGAGGATTTCCCACCGCTACCCACGCCGAAAAAACCGATTCAGACGAAAATACCGATTATGACAACGGCACCGCCTACACATGCACCTGGTGGTCCCAAATCAGTGGAGGCAAAAGCCAACGCGAACGCTACGGGAAGTGATGAACCCCGTAACCTCGCGGCCGAGCCGAAACAGACGAAGGTCCCACCGGTGGTAGTGGAAAGCGGGGCCAAAGACTGGCCGAAGATTAGGCGCGGCCTAGTAGAAAGGGGTATCCCTTTCACTAAAGCCGCTACGCGAAACGAGGAGCTAAAAATCTGGCCAGCAACCTCCGATGCATATAGGGCTTCAACGAAGTACCTAGACGAAATAAAAGCCAAATACCACACGTATAGGCTAGAGGACGAGAAATGCCATAAAGCGGTCCTCCGTGGACTCCCGAAGGAAACCGATATACAATACATTATCGAGGATCTTGAAAACCAGGGCTTAAAACCTCTGAGAGTGCAGAGAATGACTGCAAGACGGGACAGGCAACCATTGCCCCTGTTTTTAATAGACGCTCCGCTCGACGAAAGAGCCGCGATAATGAAGATAACAAGATGCCTAGACCTAGTGGTCCGCATGGAACCACTACGTAACAACACCGCCACGACACAGTGCTACAGGTGTCAAGGTTTCCACCATACACAATCGGGATGCCACAGAGATATAAAATGCGTAATTTGCGGCGCAGAACATCGCGCAGAGCAATGTCCTAGACGGGCAAACAAGGATGCCAAGGCCACGTGTGCCAATTGCAACGGAGAGCATCCCGCAAATTACCGCGGCTGCTCAAAATATCAACAAACAAGAAACAGACTACCACAAAAGCCACGTCAGAAACAGATCACAAAACCCGCCCACGTTACAGCGGGTATTTCATACGCTAATACAACTACACAGGCTATTCGACAAGTAGTCGAACAAAAACAAAAAGAGAGATCTAACGACGACGCCCTCATAAAGGACCTGTTAGAACTCCTCATGCGACACCAAGGAACCCGTTAATGAATACACCACCTACAAGGCCAAATCAGCTGAAGATCCTTTCGTGGAACTCAGGAGGAATTCGGATAAATAAGAACCTTCTATTCGAATTAATCGACAGAGAGGACCTCGACGTTATAGCGCTACAGGAAACAAAGCTAACCGAGCGGCAAAACTTTAGTTATCCTGGCTATGACGTGTATAGGACCGATCTTAGAGCAAATTCAGGAGGCACTGCGATTCTTATTAAGCGGGAGATAGATCACTATCATACTCCCACGCCCGGAGGACTCCGGACAATGGAGGCTACTACGATCACTGTTAGAACTTCCCACGGAAATTTTAACATAGTGTCTGCCTACCTACGACCTAGAGATATGCTACATCACGAGGATTTAGACCTAGTGCTACCACCCTTCGAAGAAGGCCTCATAATCGGTGATTTGAACGCCAAATCCCCCGACTGGAACAGCAGAAGACGCAACCCCTCAGGACGGGCGTTGGAAGCCTACCTGGCAGATAACCCAGGATGCGACGCCGGAGGTCCACTCGAGCCAACACACCACCCGACACGAGGACTGCCCGATGTGATTGACATCGCCATCGTGAGAGATTGCACATTTCCCTTGGAAATGTATTCTCTTAACGAGGGCTTCGGCGGACACAATCCCGTACTTCTTCACCTAGGTGAGGGAGAACGAGATAGCCCGCCGAAGATGGTGTCGAAAACAAACTGGACGCAGTTCAAAAGAATTCTAGGGGCAAATATCGGTAACGTACCGGTAATCGAAGACGAGGAGGCAGTGGACCGAGCGCTAGAGCACTTAGTATCACACATCCAACAAGCACTGCAAACCAGCACGAGGGAAACCGAAGTAACTAGGCCCAGCAGATTTAAAAACATCGGCCAGGACATTAAGGACCTTATAAGACTAAAAAGACAAGCACGCAGACGAGCCAACAGGACCAGACTCCCCCGGGACCGGATCTACGCGCAAAACCTCGCACTTAGACTGCGAGAAGAACTCAAGCAACATAGCGACGAACAGTGGAAAAACTTCCTAGACACTCTGAATCCGCAACAAAAGGGGATATGGAACCTGCAGAAAATCTTACGACGAGACAAACACACAAAAGTACCCACGCTCCACGGTACGCGAGGTCTCGCCCACACCGACGAGGACAAAGTCGAAGTATTCGCCACCTCCTTGGAGAACGAATGCCAAAACAATGAACACGACGATGAGGATATGGACTTTGCGGACGTAGTGGACGAACTTTGGGAAAACAACTACCCAGAAGACGACGACGACGGACTAATTTTAACGCCGACATCTCCTGACGAGGTGATTGGCATTATTCGTTTTGTTTCAGCGAATAAAGCACCAGGATGTGACCACATTACAAACAGAGCACTGA